TATAGAAAGTACCTGCCCATCACCACAAAAGATCAGATGAGTCTGACTTTATTTTTAATCATTATTATCTTGTGAGATGGGAAGTTTCTCTAGATGTATTAATTCCCATAAATGAAGAGTTTGGCTCATGATAGCAGATACTTGCTTTGGTCCTCCAAGCATAGGCCGTGTTGAGACTGGAAGGAACAAGGATCAGAAACAAGCTTCTGTTTATCTCAGGGTAGCTTCAACTATCATAACCAAGGAATGCTGTCTTGCCTCTTGGGTCAATCATCTAGGACATCATTCAAACCACACCTCAATCTTCAGTTTGGTGACAGTCTGTAAAAACTAGTTTGAGATTCCAATTTCTATTAAAAAGTATTAATGTAAATTATAGATTTATAAAATGCAAGCAGTAAGATTTTTGTAGTGGGTTTAGTCTACCAAAGTCTACAAATGCTTGGAATTTTTAAAAGGTATCATATCCAAAAGATATTCAAAATCTCCCTCTAAATTACAGAAATACTGCTTTAAAAATACAAGTGGTCTATTTACGTGTATTTCATTTTTACATCAAGGCCAGCTGAAAGATCCATTAAAGTTGTCATACCTTTCATTTGTAACTAATTCGTAAATACCTCTCTCCTGGTATCTTTAAAAAGAGTAGTATTTTGGTAATAGTAACAGTTCTACTGCCTACTCCTGAGCTCAGATATTAAAATGATAGAGACATTTGGTCCATTTCCTTGCCCTAAACAGAAAATTTTCCATAAATGGCCATTTATCTTCTCTTAGTATTCTCTAAATGATCCATCTATTCTGCTGATGAAAAGTTCTGGAAATACTCAGGGTTCTGTCATCAGAACACAGTCCAGGGTTTACCTGTTACCTGAATGCAGGCCCCCCTATGCAGGTATATAACAGATTTGTTCCTGAACAATAAAAATAGATTCTAATACCAGAGGCAGGATAACACAGAAGAAAGTTCCTAATTTTTGAAACAGACAAACAAATGGGTTCAAACACTGACTCCGCCCTACCATTTAATTACCTATGTGACGTTGAACAGGTTACCAAATTCCTGAGTCTTGAAGTTTAGACTTACGGTGTTTAGAGTTGTTGTGATACTTAAATAGGCTCATGAATATAAAGCATCTAACAAGAACTGTACATGCAGGTGTTCAGTGTTTCCTGTGCCCCACTGTAGGTGTTGGTGCAACTTAGTAAGATTTTTAAAAATAAGATTCTGTCAAAATGAATATTCCAAGTGTGTAGATAGATGTATAGATCTAAACTTGAGGTTAATTTGGAAACTGAGGCAATTTTAGTAAAAGCTAGAACAGCTACCCCAATCCACATTTTATGGATAAGGATATAAAATCAAAGAAACAAAATTTCAACTACATCCAAAGTTAGCCCCTTTTATCTTCTGTGACTAATGGCGAGGCAGAAAATGGCAAGTGAAAAATATATCAATGCACCCTCACCAAGGTCACATTAGGAGTCCATTCATCTTGAAAAGAGAGGGAGAGTGGTCCAGAGGGCAAACATTCTCATCTTAGCTGCCATACCAAATTACGGCTACATATGTCTTTAGACATCTTTGAACAACCGTGTATTTACATGATGGTTAACATTAGACTTTTCTGAGATTTCTTGCATATTCTTAACCACACAAACCCAGTCACACGGTCTCTCTGATGATCGCTGAATGTCGAGACCCAACCGTGGAGAAAAACTGTCAATTCAAACTCAGAAAAATAGTCACATTAAATCAATATAAAGTTTCAGTGTGATATAGGAAATGGTTTATGAAACATGCTGCTTTTGAACTCATTGCTAATAGAATAGCACTGGAAATGGGCATACAGAAACACGATTATTGTAAATTATTACAGCTTCAGTCCTAAAAAATAATTTTTCCAGATAATTAACATAAGGTAGAATTTTAGATATGTAAGTAATTCTCCATTGGTGGTTATTTATTCTAAAGTGTTTAGATTATACATTATCTGTTTAACTGTTGAATAAATTACAGCATAAGAGCTGCTTTTTTTTTTGAGACGGAGTCTCACTCTTGTCACCCAGGCTAGAGTGCAGTGGCGTGATCTCAGCTCACTGAAACCTCCGCCTCCTGGGTTCAAGCTATTCTCCTGCCTCAGCCTTCTGAGTAGACAGGATTCCAGGTACCTGCCACCACACCCAGCTAATTTCTGTACTTTTTAGTAGAGACGGGGTTTCGCCATGTTGGTCAGGCTGGTCTTGAACTCCTGACCGCAGGTAATCCACCCGCCTTGGCCTCCCAAAGTGCTGGGATTACAGGTGTGAGCCACTATGCCTGGCCAAGAGGTGCATTTTTAAAATTAACTGTTTTCCTCAAAGAGGGGCATTGATTACATCCCTGTAATAATCTAAAAAATACATTTGTATTTACCTGACATTAATAAAGAAACAGCCACAGAGATTGATCCCTATTCTTCCTTTAATATAAGTAGTAGCTAGTGCTCCATTTAATGACAGAAAGGGTTATCCTCTAGGCAAGACTATGGGAGAGTGAAGAAAGTGTTTCCCAGATGCTTACCTGAGACAGTCAGACAAACAGCCCCTCAGTGACTCAGGGAAAGAGGTTCTGGAGAGAGCTTACCCGGATGGAACTTGAGGCACCTGCACCTTCTCTAAAGACCACTGCTGAGCTTTGAAGACACAGGAAGCCCCCCAGGCCCTGGGAGACCAGCACCGCTGCTCAACACGCTTCCTTTTCCTTCCCAGCATTACTAGCAAAGGCTGAACTCCAACTCAGAAAATTCCTCTTGGTGACGCAGTGATCCGATTCCAAACCACCAACGTTTAGTTATGACCAGGGGGCTTAATTCTTCAAGGAAGTGCATCATAAAAGTCACCCCAAAGAAACCTCCAATTGGTGACATAAAAACGTGTGTGTGTGCTCACACTCATGTATGTGCGTGTGTGCCTACGGTACACAAGTGACTAGGGGCTCTTACCCTCCTTTCCACTTTTCCCACCTCTCCACACAGAAGTAAGATTAGCCACATATGCCTGCTCTTGTTTTCTCTGAAATAATTCTGTAATTTCAGAAATATTTTTAAAATGTCTGGTCCTGGCTCTACCCACTTCTAAGCCAACCTTTACTGGCATCTTTGGATCTTCCATTTCAGAAGAGAAAGCCAGAGGACAGAGAATAACCTACTCTCAAAATAGGTGAAACAAGGCCTCATTGGAGACTTGAAGGCCTGTTGAGTAATAGCTTATAAATCCCCCTGATCAAAAAGTCAGCCATGTATAATGTTAAAATTATCACTCCAGCCTTAAGGCACTGTATTCTGTGCTTGAAACAGAAGTGATTTTAACCAATCTTCTGAACTTCAGAAGGACAGACTGGTTAGTAACTCAATGGTTTGCTTAAATTTCAGATAAGAAAAGGTATTGGACTACATCCCATTTCTACCCCTCTCAACATCTGAGCCAAAAGTCCTACGTTATGGTACCAATAGGAAATTCCAGGAATTGTTTAAAGGATTTTTAAATTACTAGAGCCCAGAGGCCTTTGGACCTTTTTTGATAAGTTTAACCAAGAATTTGTACAGTGATCTTCACTAGGACTAGAAGTGGCAAAAACAAAACAAAAAACAAAACAAAACAAAACCAGGGTCAAGAGGATCTTTGAAACCAGTTTTGGTTTTTTTTGGCCTGTAATGGAATTTTATCTGAAAACACGGCACTTAACATATTGCAAATATTGCTAAGTGTATGTGAGACACCAGTTCAGAGAATAGTTACGGTAGTTTATAGTTTAAAGGAACAGTTGCTGTAATATGCTTGCTACTTTGATGGTTTATAACTATTTTAATCTACAAAGTGTAATGTAATGGTCAAAGTATGATACATTTTTAACAGGCGTTAGCAGAAGCATAGTTATTATAGAGGCTTTTTAAATTAATCAAATCGGATAGCATAAACTAGCTCTTAGATAAAATACATGGTAACCCTGATACCTATCCCAAGAAAGAAAAGAGGCACACGACAAGTGCAATAGTTTAAATATACTGAAGTAGTTTGGTATACCAGTTTAAATATTTTGATGAGCCAACTTCAAACTGGCTAAAATAATTTAGGTGTTGACTCATTTCACTAGGAAGTCTAGAGGAGGAGAGATCTAAGACTTGGAGGGTGTGGTGGGTCATGTTTTAATTCCCAGCTCCCATAACGCCATCCAATGTCAGCGTCATCCTAAAGCTAGCTCTAGTCAAGACTGCCTGATACAAGCTCAGAAAACCAAACGCCGCATGTTCTCACTCTTCAGTGGAAGTTGAACAATGAGAACACATGGACACAGGGAGGGGAACATCACACACCTGGGCCTGTCGGGGGGTAGGGGGCTGGGGGAGGGATAACGTTAGTGACGGGTTGATGGGTGCAGCAAACCACCCAGGATGTGTGTATACCTATGTAACAAAACTGCACGTTCAGCACATGTAACCCAGAACTTAAAGTATATGAAAAATAAATAAATACATAAATAAATAAAGATTGCATGATAGTTGTCAGTAGCAAAAGAATCCAAATGCTTTCTCTTCCGTATCGGGGAGAGTGTATGTTTCTGTCCCGGCATTCCAACTTGGAACGCTGAGCATGGCCCTGACTGGAGCGGCTTACATCCTGTGTCCCTTGCTCATGTTGTGGCCAGGGAGATGCTTTGTGCAGATTGGCTTTTCCAATTATGATGCGTTTCCAGTGCTGGGGATGAAATCATTTCCTGAGAAGGACAAGGATCATGTGGAGGATTGACACTAGTAGTAAAACTGGAGAACGAGGAAGACTGAATGTTGGATGTTCACTATATGGACAACTGGTCTGAAAGACACTAGCAAGCCCATGGCTGTATTTATTGAAAACTGCTGTTAGTATAATACTAATGAGAAAATATACTAATATATAAATATACTAATATAATACTAATAAGAAAATAATTCCCAGATTACAAACGAACAACAACAAAATTTCAAGGCCAGTATGTTTCCTTTTTTATTATTATTTTTGTGTTTGACTTAGATGGTTGAATGTTTTCATTTTCATTTATAAGCATTACATTAATTTCCATGCAAAAACCCAAGATCGCATATGTCTGATTTCAATTGGCCGAAATCCAACCCATGAGTTTGGACATTCAAGACCAAAATGAACACGTTGCTTGACCTTTCCATGAGTAGACATCATGGGTGTCCTTTGAAAGATCAGCAGGCCTCCTGACCTCTTAAACACCAGTTTGCCATGAGTCCATACGAAAACAGGGAGCCAATGCCTTACAGCACTGAAATCAGGCAAGTAACTTCATTCATGAAGACAGGACACCTCTAGACCAAGGATTGCACCCACAGATATTTCCTGGTTCCTGCTCTATAGCGATACCTGCTTTTGAACAAACGCGGTACCTTCTATTTGGGGATTATAAGTTCTTCCCGCCAGTTTTCCTCAAAACTCTCAGGAAGAGTTAGAGACTTTACCAAAAAAGCTTACCTCGACGACCCCAAAAGGAATAAATACAAAGACACCTACTTTATCCAGTATGTATCTTCCCCAGCTTTAGATGGAGTCAACACGTATAAAGCTTTAAAAACTTCTCTCAGTAAGACAGGAATCAGGAATATCAAAGAGGGTAAAACAGGACCCCACTATTGAAGGAGAACGAGGCAAACGCAAAGAAGCATTCCACTGATCGAGAGAAATGGGCAAAATGAAAAAATGATAGAATTTCAAGAGTGGTTGTTAATTTATACTGAAACACACTTTGCAGTTCTGACAATGGCAAAGATTAGTGCAAATAATAATTATAATGGTATGTTCTTTAACAGGATTTAAATAAGGCTTCAAATAATTACATATGCTAAAACTAACATTTGGAAACCGTAATTCTGTTTGGAAAACTCAAACACACCCTTCCAACCACCCAGTGTTCTCTGATTTGAGGACAATTACATTCAATGAAGTTGCTCCAAAACACAATTTGTAGTATTATCACTTTCAAAGTTTACATTGTTTGGTGGAAAAGGGGGAAGCTACTCTGGTCACTGGTCAAAATAAATAAATCCAGCTAACACGCCAGGCAGTTCCCAGGTTCGTATGATTCTCAAATATCAGTAGTGGTGAAAGCTCGCAAGAAAAAAAGACAAAAGCAAAATAATAAAAATAATACGATAGAATCGTTAAGCGTCAGAGATTTGTTTCCTCATACCCATGAACAAATCTGCACCAAGCATGAAACAGAAAACAGCAAGAGGACTCATGGGCATTTTCATCTATGGCTCAAGATCTCCTTAAAAAGAAAAAAAACTCCAACAAACTAAAGAGCATGACAATAACTACAAAAAGTAAACAATGAAATCAGAAGCAGAATATGAAATAGTAATATACTGTTTCAGAGCCTGCACCATCCTGCAGAACCAGGAAACTTAAAATTTGTTCTTAACATATCCAATCTAGGCTGGATATGTAAAAAACAGAAAGATAGCATCATAAACCAACACGACACATTATCAGAGTTTAAGAACCAGGAAAAAAAAAAAAGTCAGCTAACACTCAGAAAAATTTGTCATCAATTCTGAAATGGGGCCTTGTGACATCGTCAGGATTGATAAAGACAGAGATGGACTTTCCCGGGTTCTCAGTCACTAGCTGCTGCAGTTTTTTTGCCAAACGGTCATCAGGCTGGTTGGGGTCCCCTCCGTCGGACTGTGGGGAGGGGATGCTGGTGGTGCTACCTCGCCTCTGGAGCTCCAATGTCAGCCGGTTGGCTGCCTTGACATGCTCAATGGCAGTGCGCAAGTGCTCTGCCGGGTCTGAGCGCACAGAGGACAGCTTCCGGGCGTGAAGCATGACTGTCTCCTCAGACAGGTGTTCCAGCATGTTGCACTGAGGGATGAAATAATTGGGGCACATCTTGTTGACCAGACAGTGTTGCAGGTCATCGATGAGGCCCAGCAAAAAGTGGGCTGCATAGTCTTCTTGCGCCAAGTAGTTGGCAGGAAGTCTGTCGCAGGCCCAGAGCATCATGCTCCGCAGGTGATAGGGGCTAATAGCCTTGGGCCGGGACAGCAGTTTAATGATGATGGCTTTGCAGGCCTGATAGGCCTGCATGAGGCTGCTGGAGATGCACTTCTTCAACTGCACCTCGCTCCTGGCAAAGGACAGCCGCCATTCATTGTCCTTCTTACCCTTGTAGGAGCAAGCAGGCACCAAGTAAAACCCACTGATGACCTCTTCCTCAGTAATCTTCCCATCCCAAAAGTGGTTCTCCATGAGCCAGCTCTGGGCCACCGCAGGCCAACCTTTGAAAGATACCACAGGGACAATATCGTACAACATGCGGCTACTCCCTACACCCAGAATGATGGAGATGATGGTCCCATTTTTTTCTACCTTCTCCACCTTTGGCATCCCTCGCTGGGGTTTCTTCTGTATTTCTGATAGGACAATGCTGATAGAATCATAGAACCAGTCAGCCACTTTGGTAGGTGAGAAGAAGTAGTTGGTGGCACCATTGATGTGATCTACAATGGTGCAGCAGTCTTTCCATTTACTGATTGTCCCCTCATCAAAGAGCCGAAGGCTCAGCCAAGAGTGGCACAAGGCTGAGTGGCGCATGTCGAGTGTCACAGGCTGATTACGGTCATGCAGCTTGAGGGCTGGCACCAAGAGGGTGAAGTCCATATCATAGTCAGTCCCCCGGGCATAGACATTAAGCTCGTCTAAGTCCAGGTCCACCACGCCTTCCCGGACACCTCCAGAGAGCAACAGGTACTCATTAGCCACTGGAAGCTTTTGGTCCAGCTTTTGCACCATTCCTAGAAATAAAAAAGGAAAAAAAAACAACATTATTATAGGAAGCACAGACATAAAGAGTCTTATGCATGAATACAGAATGTTCTGAGGTTCCAAGAACCAAAATTCATTATCAGTACAAAATCAGATCTCAGGCTGCTGCACAGATCTGGTCAACAGTACTTTTACACTAGTGCTAGAATCCACCCTTTTCCAAATGGAAGAATTATGATAGATTTTTCTCTCTTAGTGAAAAGCAGTATCATTTTCAATAATAAACCAGGGCCCTTCTTCCCCCAGTCATCATCTCAGTTAACGGAATTGCCATCCACTCAGTCGTGCAGACTGAAAACCTCAGTACATTTCGACTCTTTGCTGCCCTTCTACTGCCAAATCTTTTCCATGAAACCTCTGCCAGGGTTCTCACCTCCTTCCCTGTTCTCCATCTCTCCTGCCATCATAGGAGGTTCGGCCTTTTTTATCTCTTGCCAAAGCAGTTTTCCTTCCCCAGGCTCTTCGCACTTCACTTTTCGTTGTACCAGCGGTTCTCAGTGTGGGCTGGAGACATTTTCAGGGGTAATGAGTTCATAACTCTCTTTATAATAACACTAACACATTGTTTGACTTTTTTTTTAAGAGACAGGGTCTTGCTATGTTGCCCAGGCTGGTCTCAAATTCCTAGTCTCAAGCAATTCTCCTACCTCGTCTTCCCCAAGTGCTGGGATTACAGGCATGAGCCACCATGCCCAGTCTTGTTTGACTTTTTTACTGTGTTGCCATTGTACTAATGGCACAAAAACAACGGAGGATAAAACTCCCAGAGATTTAGCAGCAGCCAAGACACAGACGCCAAACTGTACTAGCAGTCAGTAGATTCTTCACCACTGACATGCATTAGCAATTTTTTTAAAACCCAGTTTTACTTAAGAAAATCCTTGATGAAGAAAAATAAGTTATTTTATTGAATCTCAACCTTTGAGCCATTAGAAAGATTATTTTCCTAATGGTCTGTGTGAGGAAATGAAAGTAACCATAAGACCTCTCTTCCTTATACTGAAATGGGAAATCTGTTTTCAGGAAAAGCACTCACGTAACTGAGTTGTGAGCTGAACTAGCTTCTTTGTTCAAGGAACACCATTTTTACTTTAAAGAACAATGGAAAACTATGGGCTATTTAGATTTGGGTATTTGGCAGACATTTGCTTCAAAAATGAACAAAATGAGCCTGGCTTCAAGGAAACTACTGACAATATTTATTGCCAATGATAAAACTGAAACTTCTAAGAGAAAATTAAATTTAGAAAACTCCGCACCATGAGCGTGACATCTTCCCGAATTGTATACATTTCTGATTAAACTGGCGGTGATATTAACGAATGTGATTTCTGATGAGATTGTGAGTCCTTTTGAGAACTATGTCTCATGTATTAAGCAGGCATAGAAGACTCCGCGCATGCAGTAGGAACATAATTGAAGCTATGATTAAATGATAAGGGAACGAATCCATGAAATTAATAGGTGGATAGCATTAATAGATAGAATTAACATAAATACTTAAAGGCTAGACTTAAATGACTGTTCCATAAACAACATATACGTTTTCCCTCCTTCACTGTATATGTGCTTATGCTTGATTATCTGACAAACTACCAGCATCATCCTGTGATTTATTTAACAGCGTTTCCCCAAAGATCATAAAGACCTACCACAAATGATTATAATATTTCATTATTCATTGTAATTCATAGTTTGCTCTTCATAGGACAATCCCAAATCAAATAAACCATATGCACGTGTTTTGTTACTATTATCGTTATACTCTGAATGTTTGTGCCCCCTACTCACATGTTGAAATCGCAACTTTCAATGTGATAGTATTAGGAGCTGGGGCCTCTAATAAGTGGTAGGTGATTAGGCGTGAGAGTGGAGCCCTCATGAGTGGGATTGGTAGCTCTTATAAAAGAAACCTCAGAGCGCTTCCTCACCCCTTCTGCCATGTGAGGACACAGCGAGAAGACAGCCCTTTATGAACCAGGAAGCCGTCCCTCACCGGACAATGAATCTGCAGGCACCTTGATCTTGGCTTTCTTGACCTCCAGAATGGCGAGAAAGAAATCCCTGTTGTTTATAAGCTACTCAGTCTAGGTCCTTTGATATAACAGCCTGAATGAACTAAGACAATTATACTTTAAAATTTAACGCTCATTTATTAAATTGTGCTCTTTTTCACTCTTTAAAATCCTATTTTCCAAACCACATGAACCATGAAAAAGTCTTTTATTTAGTACCATTTCCTTACACACAGAAATACGGCACGTTATCATTTTCTTTTTAAAACCGTAAGTTAGCCAACATTATAGTGTCAACAATTCACCAGAAAGAACATCCAGCAAACCTGACTTCTTGGCTGTTTCTCACACTATCTGCACTGTGATACGGCATCCAGGTCCCTCTTCAATAAAGGACTTATCCCAGCTGCTTAAATGCTATCCCTTAAGGATTGTCTCAGCTGCAGAAGGCCGTCTTCACCAGGTCAGGTCCTGTGGCTGGGATGGGGGTTGCAGGTGCACATCCAGTAAATGATTGGTGTGGGAGTGTCCCAGCTCAGGATACTCTGAAGGGCCATTCAAACTGAGTTCCCAGTGGGGTTGGCTGTGGCGAATGATGCGCCTGCAGGGAAGCTCAGCTTCTCCTACTTGAACCTGCTTCCTTCCCCACTTCGACAGGTGTAGATCCCAAGGGTGCTGCCTCATAAACATCCTAACTCCATTTCAGAGGCTGCTTCCTGAGAAACCCAGCATACTAAATACTATCTAAGCAAAACAGAAGATACTACCTACTACCCAAGCAAAAACTGCCTTCAGCATGGAAAATATGTTTTCTTTTTAAGCCAAAATTAATCTGGATTGAGAGTTCTTATAAATGCCAAGATAAAGATCCGTTTCTCAAATGTCATTATCTTTTAATATTAACCTCATCTTTGCCAGGTAAAGAAATACTACCACCCTACGTTTTGGTTATTGCTTTAAAAGATAAAATTGATTTCTCAGATTCAGGTCAGGTTGTGAAAATCATTTTCATTATTTTATGAACTCACATGTCAGAACAGTCAGTTTCAGTGAGATATATTTGATAATGAAACAGTGTACTCTTCATTATTTCAAACATTCTTTCATTCTAGCATTCAGAATACCATAAATATACATGAGAAACACTGTGAAATGCTGTGTTGTGGTTAGTAAATAAGATCTGAATCTATTAAAGCTATATGGTTATTTGAGTACCACACTGTTGCCTCCTCTTAGGCACAACTAACTCAAAATCCTATGTATCCTTTTGTCCTGGACAGAAGAAAACCGGTTTTGAGCCCACCAGCTAAGACTTGTCTATCTAATCAGGGTAACTTGTGCATTAACAACCTAGAGATAATCTATCTACAAAAGTGCCACTGAATTTTGCCTTGGATTGTCACGATTCTGTTTGGAGAGTCTTGGGTAAGCCATAGCTAAAACTCCCTTCTGCCCTCTGCTGGATATAAGAAGTTTTAATGTGTTTTCACTTGTCAATATATACACTAGAAAATTCCTGCCAATGATAAAATATTCTCTTTCCTCCCAACTGATGCTTATGCATCTCGTTAAAATGTTGATCCTTTATTCAAAGGAGTCAACATCAAGTATTTGGCTAAATTCTAATTTTCAGGAGGTAGGGTAATTTTGAACACCACTTATTCCTTTTAAAGTGAAGAAAGCCCTTTAGCAGCAGAAAGAATACTGCAGACACACATTTACTAAGCCCCTAGAAGTTAGAAACAAAGTCCCTAAGGCCACACTGTTCCAGAAGCTAATCCCTTCTTACACCCACATTTCCATTTAGCCTCCCTGAGCGCATTAGTCTGCAATTTTACAAACGATACGGTAACACAACTGGAGCCTTCCCCAGCGTTATACAAGCCCAAATGTCTTCCTTGAAAACTTTCCTGGGCTAAGTTTAAGTGAAAATGAGCTGACATCAGCTATCATGGCAGATGGGTTGCCATGCAACCAAAACACAGGGCTGGAAGGGAAAAAGACAGAGGAGGGAAGCATTTCAACTGTACGCTTTGGCTGTACGGATCAGTTCCAACAAGTGCCATCTCCGCAATGATCCAAGGTTTTTTGTGTAATTATGGGAGGATAAGATCGAGTGACCCTGGCTGTTTAGCTGTGAGATTATCCAAAGGCAGGCGTGGGAACAAAAGGAAGATGCACATACACCACTGAGCTTGTTAGCAGCAAAACAAAAAAAGAAGGATAGAGGATAGCTAGTCCCTTGGGTGGGTCTCTTCTTTTCATGGAGGCACTGGCATATGCCTGCTCTTAAGTAAAACTGCCACTCAACCTCCTTTCGTGTGATTCTCCATTTCTTGGTTTTGATATATTTCAGAGATTTTACTTAGGAATACCTTAATAGTACCCTTTTATATAGATACTCAGCTCCTAAGTTTAAGGAATGTGTTTCATGTCATGCTTTCAGTTATCTGCTGATTATCTTTAGAATATCAAGTGAAAAATGGAACTCTGTCCCTGACTTCTTTATGTTCTAGTGAATAAAACTGTATCATATTCCACTAAATTGAAATTGCAAACCTTCATCATGCAAACATATAATGCCAGATTGCTAATACTAGAGCACAAAAACTAAGTATCATTTCTTGTTGTCTTTACAACCCCACTCCAGTAAGTCTGTGAAAGCTCAAATAGAGAGTTCAAGAAATACTAAGTAGATAAGTCAAAATAGTACTTGTATAGATTTCTTTAAAACACACACACACACATTTGAAGGGAGAAAGATTTATAAAAAGTAAAATTTTTCTGTCTTATAATTAAAGTTATAAAATTAGATAAATTTTATTTTTATATACTTTTGAAAATATATATATATATGCCTGAATATCTCAGTAATATTCATTGTTTCATATAAAAGAGCTTCCTTTTTTGGCTCCAACTCATGTAGCACACACCAGTAACAAACAGTGTCTTAT